AGGGGACGACAAAGGTTGGTATGTCGCTTGGTGGCAAGAACCTTTGAAACGTGGGGGCGTATTGTATCTGCAGCGGGTTTGCTGCTTCCACAGCAGTTTTTGTTGGGCCATCAGCCATCCCAATTGGAGGAAATCTTTGCCTCACTTTCCTTAGGCTACTGACGTGCTTGTACAGCGGTTTGTGATTATCACTGAAGGTTTTTGCAATGTTCTGCTGATAGGCGGCTTTGTGTTCTCTTAGCAGTTAGGTGCAGGGATTAAGTTGGGCTACATAGTTGTTTCAGGTTTCAGGTGCTGGAGCCTCTCTGTACACTCGCCATGCTGCGTTGCGTACTGTCTTCCAGTTTCGAGTTCTGCTCCTGACGAAAGAAACTGATGTACACTTTTTGCAAACTCGTATCTCTGAAGCCTCTGCAAACAGCTGACTGAATTTGTTGACGAAATCGAGCCAGGCGGCTTCCGTGGGTTCTTCGGCAAGAAACGACCAACTTGTGGCGCTGACGAGTTGGGCTGATCGATCGCAGCTTGTGATGGTTCTCACAGTCTCATCGTTCCCATTCAGAAATGCTGCATAGCAGACGAAGTTGAAACTGATGACTGCGTGATCACTGCGACCCAACGGGCAGTCTAAAACCAATACATCAATCATATGCTCCTCGTTGGTAAGCACAAGATCCAGCACAGATGGCCTGTTACTAGTTCTGAATGGAGTGGGCAAAGGGACGTAACTGTTAGGAGGAACAGTGGTTACGAGATATTGTAGATTGACTTTGAATTGTTCTCCGATAGTGGCAAAAGTTTCTACACAATGTACGTTGAAATCACCCATGTGAGTGCACGTTTGTTGTAAACTTCATCTTAATTAACCTCTATGTGGCAGCCGGTTTCGAGCGTAGAGTTAAGGGGGGCGATACTCTAAGACAATAAGGCAAGCGGCTCCGCTTTTTAACTACAAGCGGCACCAAAGCGAGTCGCGGAACTGCGAGTCTGAGTCCTCCACGGCTTCGCATTGTAAGTCGCTTTGAAAATACAGAATTACCCATCCTCCTTTTGTGAGCCTATCGTTCCGGATCAGCTACCTGCCCGGTAACGAAGATTCAGCGTAACTCATTCCCGTGTGCAACCACGTCTCGGTGATACCAATGACATCATTTGACCCGGAAGCTTGGCGATCTTTCAATTCGGCCAGTTTACTGAAAAGACCCTGATCATTCCAAGTGGTATTTGGTGTACCCGCTGTGTGGTTGGATTGCAACTCGCAATCTCTATTCAGACCTCGGTCCTATTTGATGCAGAGGTCCGTTATTAGGATCACATGGACCGTAACCGATATGGTGGCTCGGTGTTGCTCCACCCAACCCTGACACCCCATAACCGGTTTTCGCCTCCTTCAGACTTATCAGATGGACATAGCCTGAGCTGGGGTGGACCTCGAGGCCTGACGTTCAAAAGTTGACGCCTTGACCACTATGGCTCTAAGATTCACGAGGAACGCTTGGCACAGTTGTACAGAATTCCAGGTGGCATTTGGTGTACCCGCGGTGTGGTTTGATTGCGACTCGCAATCCCTCTTCAGACCTCGGTCCACTTTGAAGTAGATCTCGGCCATTACGATCATAAGAAAAGTATCCGAATTAGTGGATTGTTGTTGCTCCTCCCAACCCTGACACCTCATAACCGGTTTCATCCTCCTTTGGAGTCGTCATATGGAGGTAGCCTGAGTTAGGGTGGACCATGAGGCCTAGTGTTCAAAAGTTGACGCCTTGACCAAAATGGCTCTAAGATCCTCGAGTAACACTTGGCACAGTTGTACAGAATTACAAGTGGCATTTTGTGTACCCGAGACCAAGGTCTGGATAGAGATTGCGAGTCACATTCCAACCACAAATTCTTTCACAGCTGTGTTGAGAAACGTCGGATTGGAATATGCTTATACTTTTCGAACTGCCTCGAGGATTCTATATCGAATAGTGTCACATAGAAAGGCAAGCGGCTCAATGCGATTGATTTATCCACTTGCGTTTAATCACGGATGACCGTGAACACGGTTAGTGATGGTACGGATCTTAACCATAGAAGCTATTTCCACGTATTATGGATTAATGTGCTAGGTTGGTACATCCGGTTCTAATGAGCGTACAGCGAGAAGGCTGCGAGAATATGGAGAGAGGATAGAGAGGAGTAATCCAGAAGAGCCAGGAGCACTCACGTCACGTGTGTGTGTGTGTGTGTGTGCGTGGATGACCTTGATGCTTTGTCGAGCGTGAGTTCCTAATCATTAATTACAAGGTTTAGTACCGATGGTTTGTTATCAGCTTCGTAACTAGTAGGTGAGGTGATGTGACCGTACAGTGGAATATTTGAGAGGTTTCGCAGTTCGCCCTGGAATGTTTCGCTAGGGAATGCCAAGGTGCCCAGGCAGTGCACATGGATCGGTTGTAGTTGGGTACGGTACGCCATACTGACCACATCCTCCACTACGGCAGCAATCATCCGGCAGCCCACACACGCAGCTGCTTGCAAACACTTTCAGATGAGCACAAACCCATTGTAGAGCACCGCAGCTGAGACGGGCAGAGGAAGACCCTCTCTTCAATCTGCTCAAGCGGAACTCGTACCCAAAAGTCTTCATTCTACGCTGCCTCGCACCACAAATGGCTGCTCAATACACCTCGACAAATACAACGGCTGGAAAGAGAACAACACTGCCCTATATCAGCAGAATCTCTGAAATGGCAGCGAGGCTTTTATTGCCTTTTGGAGTTAAACTTGCACACCAACCAACGGAAAAAATCCGCAATAAACTCTTCAAAGTGAAAGGTAAACTTAGCAAACAGGAAGATACTGGTGTGATTTATAAGATCTGCTGCCGGAACTGCAACAAACACTACGTGGGACAAACTGGAAGAAATCTTGGCACAAGGCTACACGAACACAGCCTAGCCATTCGTCTCCACGATCAGAACCCCCTGATGTCAGTACATATGGATGACGTGAACCATCCATTCGACCTAGAGCACTCCAGCATCCTCAGAAGGGCTAAAAGCCGGCAAGCATGTTCGTTCATTGAAGCTTGGCATTCAAAGCGGAACTCGATCAATAAGCACTTGGACATTGAAGTTGCTTACGAGGCACTACGAATCAGGCCCCTGAAGCTCCACTGATGGTGTTGCCTTGTCAGGCAACGAAACGTCTGCACAATAATCACTCAGCTCGGAGAACAGCTTAAAATCCGTATCCACACTCTGAGCTACGGACATTCTCATTTATTTCAAATGTCGAAAGGTGTAAAGAAATAACTACCTGTACCGAGTGTACTGTGCTCCAATAGCCCATAATCAAAGTCGGCATCAATAAGTGGCAGGCAGTTGGATGACCTCAACCAGTGTGACATTAACAGTGATCTCATCCGAGTTGTACTGAAAACTGCACACGTAGTGTGTATTACGCGGCAATCAAACTCCAGGAATTACGGAGAGCCAAGACTTAGGCGCGTTGTGCTGAACTCCATCCCTAACGTAGAATCAGTACTACTGTCCTCAGGTAGTCTCAGATATAAACACTGTCCCGCCCGGATCTTACCAGACATCCCATAGGATGAGCACCTTAGAGGACTACCGGAAGGAAACT